CATACCAATGAAAAGTCATCGCGTGACTGAACACTTATATAACCATAAACATATAAAAGCTTGTTTTGACCCACATACAAAATAGAATGATGTCAGTCTGCTCCCTTTTGCCACAAGTAAGCCATAAAAATACAGCATGTCAGACAAATGAATTTGTTTTGTGGTATTTGGGCCATATTAACTATTTACCATATGGGTCGCTATAGGTTCACATCCAGATTACACCTCGCCCAGAGCACTGCATGTTTGCCAAAAAAGGTTCACATTTTGTTACAGGATATTTGGGCCACAATTGCTTGTTCACAAGTGGGCCACTTTAGCGTCACATCTGTTTTGTTAAGGCGACAATGAGGCCACAAGTACCGCATCATTGCCTGAAGTGGCCCATATCTGCACTACATGTTTTAAATAATTGCATCCACTAAATGTCAAACCTGTCAAGGTGGATGGAGTATGACAATAGCCAAGCAATTGTACTATAGCCAAAATCATATTCCACATTATTCAAATATGGAGCTTCTCAGTAGTTTTAAAAAAAGAGGAAATTAGTTTTTCATGTAATGTTACACATTATGCATGCCACCTATAGGAGTGGCTGGCATTTACTGTAATGATTGGCATTTGACTTTCAGCATCTGTAAATCTCAGCACAGTGTTGTTTTCAAGAGCTCATTAACACATTAACATATTTTCTACCTGAGCTTTCAACCAGGAATATGTTATCATCTGACCCTCATTTCAGATTTATGGAATATAAAATAGAGCAGAGAGTACCCTACAAATGGAGAATTAATGGTTCTATGTCAAATGTCACATCAACTCATCAACAAAAGGAACTGTCTGGGCACTAATGTATCCAATTCAATTCTTTAATTATGCACAGTTAGCCTGTATTTATTCTGCAGGGTTTTTTATTACTGCAGGAACAACAACAATCTGTCCCCAAAACGTCTCTTAAGAATTGATAGAAAAATGGTGTGACATTCAGTAAAGTAATAAAAAAGATGTTATCGTAACAGTAAGTCAAGTACCTGACTGACACCTTCAAATTAATATTTCACAGTGTTGTCAGGCACTTATAGTTTGAAGGAAGAGTCTCCTGAGGCATGTGCACACCAGTACGTGTCTTGGCATTTATGCTTCCCAGTCCAACCACCACAGACTCACCACTGACTCGGAGACTCACGCAGCAAAACATGAGTTAATTGTTTTGGGTAACTGTTCTTCATCGTAATAAAGGGGTGGATGTATGCTGCTGAGGGAGGTGACCTGGGATTGCACTGTTTTTGTTGATGTTTTGGTTTCTCGCTGTGAAAAGTGCCTGTACACGACTGGATGAGGCCTCAACATGAAGTAATTTACCTCGAACACTTATTATCTTTCCAAGTACTATTTGTGTTGTTTCTGTTCCTGTGTTTTACCATGATAGTACGTTTCAACATGCTATGACCTTGCAAAAAACATTGTGACTGTCTACAAAATTTCATACTGATTTATTGAATAACTGTCAAGATATTTCTACTAACAACAAACCAATACATTGATATTGGTAATGCATAGAGCAGCACACTGCTGGGATCTTAAAGTAAATCCTAATATATTTTAAAGGATTTATATTGTGCTCATATTGTGCATTCATGATTTTAATCTGGGTTATTACTTGAAAAGGTTTACACACTCTAATGTTCACTTGTTGAACACTTGGATTTAGCTCATGTCTCTTTAAGGTCCCAGCCCTAATAAAGCCCACTCTCCTCTGATTGGCCAGCAAGTCCACTGTGTTGTGAGAAGGTGTGCCAGATTAATCACTGTGTGTGCAATATGCAATATGTCACATGACATCATACCTCAGAAGTCAGCCAAATTACTTACCACACATTTCAGTAGCGGACTTGGGACTTTTTAACTTGGCAGACATTTTACATACACAAAAATCTAGATAACAAACTAGAGTAAAAGGGAAAAACTGAGAAAGCACAGTATGTCTTCCATCTATTTCACCCTTCATTATGTGTACTGATATATCTTTAAAGTTCCAGTGTGTAAGATTTAGATGAAAGGGAACTATTGACAGAAATTTAATGTAGAATAATCCTCATGATGTTTTCACTAGTTTGTTTCATCTAAATTGTATGAATTGTAGTTTTCTTTACCCCAGAAAGAAGAAAGAAGATGAATCTGAGGCCATAAAACTCAACCTTTCTTACTGTACATAAACTCGGTGTTTGTAATGAACACTTCTTTTCATGGTGCTTTTTCGAAGCTGAAAAGCTTGTGGAGTAGTTACAGAGCTTTTGCCCTTTGAAACCTTCCTCCTCAGATAACAAAGCAATAATGATTATGTAATTCTTCTTTTATGAAAACTTAATGGACTAGTCCCCTGGCTAGACAGTCTAACTCTGATGTGTCAGCTGACAGTTAACCTATCATACCATCACATTTCAGGAGATCCAGGGGTCTATTTAAAGGCCTACACACTCATATTCACTGTCGCTGCTTTGCTGCCACTGTTAGTTCACAGGAGACTCCTTCACCACATCCTCCACCTGATCAACTCCCTGCTGCTATGGCATTGCCAAGTTTAATATGGGATGATTAGTTGCTGAATGTTCCCTCCACTTTGCAGTCCGTGGAGCTTAGTCAAACAAATTTCCATCTCTGGATGCAACACATGACATGAGTACCTCACTCAGTAATGAGATTAGAGAGGGTGTGTGGGGGAGATTTTGAGGGAATGGAGAGAAGTGCTGGTCCTGGCTACAGCTGGCATATTTGCCTCAAAGGCACAAGATGATGGAGATACAGATTTTTACAGGAAAACAGACTATTTTATCATTCTCTACACTTGAAGGATGCCTACTGACTTTCATATTGAGAGTTAGATGAGAAAATCTGCACCACTTTCATGTGCAGTAGCTATAAAAACAGTAGGTAGTTAGCTTAGCAGGAAGACCAACATATTTATATGAAAAACGTCATGTTGCAGTTTAGATGTAAGTAGGGTGGATTTTGTTAACTTTGGACAGAGGCGGGCCAGATGTTATCCCTTGCATCTAAGATGTATTCTAAGATAAGCTAACTGACTGCTGGTGGTAGCTTCATATTTACCATGCAGCGACAAGAGTGACACAGTATCAATCTCATCATGTACCTCTATTGCCCAAAATGCCAAATAACCCTTTTAAGATCTATTGAGTCAACTGTGAAAGTCTTTTCATCAGTCTACAACTATTAATGAAGCATCATCTTTTCAAATTTTTAACCAATCTGTCTTTTTGTGTGCATTTCCTCTAATATGTTTGAGTTTAATATTAAAGGCCCAGGCTCAGGGTGGTTTGGGCCACTTGGCAACGTTTTACTGAGGCTCTCGGGGGAAGCTTTGGGGATCAATATCTCCATGGAGTGATAGCCAGATGAGTACCTCCAAAAAGGGTCTACTCAAGGCAATCAGGGTCTGAATCAGACAGGCTGCTGACCCATGTGCAAATACGCTTGAAGGCTAAGGGTCATGTGCCATTCATTTTGGAAACTGACTGGAGAGTAACTGAAGCTGAGGCTGCTATATGTGCCTGCAGGTGCTGGCAGGCCCAGAGCTAGATGACTGCACGGTGGGGTTAGAAGCCTTTAAAGACAAGATCAAAATATTACAACATTTTCTAAAACACTCAGATAGTGAAGGGATGATAAACATGGTGATATGATCATGCTTTTGTGGTGTAAATCTGGTGATTACATTTTGAACACCCTGAGATGTGCAATCATGTTTCTGTTGCATTGCAATAATACAGATGAGTAACAGAGAATTCCACTTTGAAGAAAATTGAAATAAGTAGGCAATCTACTTCAAGGTACATATTTCTCATGTTGAAAAAATACAACGCCTTTAACCTTCAAGTCTCCAGACAAATTTCTGGTCTAAAATAACCAAGGTTTTGAAGAGTGGGCACCACATCCTGAACTAGCTCTGATTAGTGCTTTAAGAGGCTCCAGGCAACACTGTCATATTCCCACACGATATGATTCCCTTAATCCAGTCATAACACAGTAATGCACTAACCATGCGCAATTACTTATATATTTACATATATTTTTGTAAAATAATTTTAATTTTACTAATGTGATCTTGAAATGCATAAGACTGTGAAACAATCTAAATCTTTTATTTTTCAAACCAGTGTTATTGACTTTTGCTTTTTAAAACTTGTTCATTGTGTTATGAATATATGCTAAAGGTCAGAGCTATCCTATGTCAATACACTATCAAAAAATACATACATAAAAGGAAAGGAAACAACAGACTTTGAACTCTTGTTGTCCGTCTCCAGACAGATCAACTAGTTAAGTTCCTTAGTTGTGTCCCACTGCCTGCCAATCAGATTATATCTCCCCAGAGCCAATAGGGGCAGAGCAAGTTAGTTGGCTGGGTGTGTTGAGTTGGAGTTTAAACTTTGGACTCAAGAAGACGAGCTGAAAGATACAGTGGAGACTCTTGACAAAGACAAAGCTGCGGATATTTCTGCTTGATCTCAGTTGTGTTATAAGGCCTCTCTGTTGTGCTACACAAACAGGGACACTATGGAGCACTACCCAGATCAGGTAACTGTCTAAATATTGTCTTATGTTGCGTGGTAGTTTGTGGTTGTGGGTTACTGGGTCGGCTTTGCGGAGCAAAGTTCAGGCCTGAGAGGAAGTTAAAAACAGAACTTTAAATGTACCTAAAATGTACAAGTAGATCACTGTTTTAAAACGGTATTAAAATGATTACTCATAAAAACTGTCTTGCTAGCAATAGATATCCACACGGATTGGGGGAACATGTTGTACAGTACAGTGTGTTCAGGGAGGATCATGGTGAATTGTTGCCAGTAAAACACCAGTCCCCAGCTGTGGCGGACATACATAGCCCTGTGTGTTGTCATTAAAGCTCATGATCTCATTTCAGGGTTGTGATGGCATCGAGCTGCTCGACTGGCTGTTTGATCAAAATGATGGAATTCTCTGTCATGAAGAAACGGAACACCATGGCAACCATCACACCTGGCCAATCCAGGACCAGAACGTACGTGAGAGTGTGGGATCTCTAATGTGGGATCTCAAATATATGTTTGCTTTCTCTATAGATCTTTGTCAGTTTTTTGTTTTTTAAAGTCCCATTTCTCGCCACATTATCATCTCACAGAGACAGACTAATGATAGCATTTAAAGTTTTTTACCCAACAGATGCTGCAGCCTCCTGATCAGGCGGATGACGACTTCCTCAACGCCCTCCTGAGTGGGAATGATTCAGTGTCAGGCTCACCTCTGTGGTCCCCTTCTCCCAGCGACAGTGGAATCAGCGAGGATCCTCCATCAGACCAGATGGACAGTCCACAACGTCCCGAGAGCCCTCACAGGAAGACTCTGTTCTTCAGTAAGACGCCCCAAACAAAGGCGGCCCTGGAAGCCAATGTCCCCATTGACCTGAGTGAGTCACAAATATTTTTTGGAGATCAACTTAGCTCTAATAACATCATTATTTCATTCTGATTACACATGTTGAATATATGTGTTGAATAATGTTCTGAAACACAGTGAGTCACAAATGATTTAACATGGCCAGACATTGCAGGAATTCATGTACGCACATACAGATGGACATCCAACACCACAGTGGCACAACACAACAGACATATTTTCTTTTACTTTATAGCTCTACAGTGGTATCTTTATATTTTATACTAAAAGATGTAGGTGAGAAAGTAAGAGAAAGAAAAATAAAGTCAAATAGGTTTTTTGGATGCAAGATGTTGTTTTCCAGTAATCGTTGGCTTCAACTGTTCATCCCAGTATCACATAGGATAAAGTAGGATATCATATTATTGAAGACTGTGTACAAGAGTATTCAAAAACACTGAAGTTACTGCCTACTGATGAAAAACAATAGTACACATGTTGAACCAAGCAGATTAATTGGTATTCGAGCAACATTCAAGTCCAAATACCATTTCTTGAATTATTTTTTTTGGAACAGAATACAAACAATGTCACTAGCATGTCGTTTTTGTGTTTGTTTGCATGTGATTTATGTGCAACCTTATGTCTGTGTGGGTTTAGATGGCTGGGAATCATCTGGATTCCTGGCGGGCAGGGCGAGGATTACACAATATCCATCTGATGTACATAGACCACAGCTGTCCTCTGGCTTTCCGCTAACAGTCAAAGATCTGCTTCTCTCTGGAACACCCGAACCAGTAAGTGAACCTGGTAACTAAGGGCAACCAGGCTTTTGCCATCTGGGCCTCGAGGCTCTGAAACTAATTGCCTGAGAAGATTAATCCTGTTGTTAAATCATTG